ACTAGTTTTTGGCCTTCCCCGTTCCTTTCATTTGAACACCTACAGTACAGGTGTGCCCATGAAGCGTTAGTTCAACTTGTGCTCTTTTTTTTTGGTCCCCCTTTTTAAGCTTTGCCATAGGGTACATGCGTCCACCGGAGAGAGACAGAGAGGGGGAGACCAGCAGATGGCATAATGGTTACACTGCTGGACTCCCAGTCAACTTTGGTTTTGAGTCCCAGACCCGGAGACTTAAAACTCACAGCAGGCACAAGTACATTCACGCCCAAGATCCTGAGAGGAGACTGGAGAAAGGACTGCAGTCCCTTCTCCTTCATTATCTTTTGGGATTTGGGGCACATATGCACGTGCAACTGGTGTGATTTTCAAGCCACTGTGTCTCGGACTCAAATCTGTAGTCTGCCATGTGGAAGTCCAGTGCCTTAATTAGCAGTTTTTTTTTCTTACTAGTAGATAAATTAGGGACCAGCAAATGGCATAATGGTTATGTTGTTGGACTCCTACATGGCTGACCAGTTTGAGTTCTGGACCTGGCAGCTAGAAACTAACGGCAGGCACATGGGTGAGCATGTCCACAATTGAGGAGAATGGAGAAGGGGTTATGGTATGGCCATGGGGGGTGATTTCTCATTTTCTGTCTCTTTCTCCAGCAATCGCATGCACTGTATAGCAAAAATCTCTCTAAAGCAAAAATCTCTTGAATGCACTCTACAGCAAAAATCTCTCTAAAGAAATTAAAAAATAAAAAGTAGATAAATTATTACATCATTTCAAAAATTATTTATTTCCTTTTTTTTTTTTTTTATTTGACCAGAGAGAGAAACAGAGAGAGAGAAAAGGGAGAAAGCAAGCCACCAGGTCTGGGGCTCGAACCACGCTGGGCCATGTGGGAATCTAGTGGCTTTAACCACCACACCACTTGCTGGCCCGATTATACATATTTTTTAAAGAATTATTTTATTTAACATTGTTCATTTATCCATTTCAATTTGAACAGAGAGGGACAGAGTGAGAGAGAGAGAGAAAGTAAGAAAGCAAGCTGCCAGGTCTGGGACTCGAACCATAGTTGGTCATGTGGGAGTCCAGTGCCCTTAACCAATATGTCACCTGCTGGCCCCAAATTGTTTTATTTAACTTTTTATTTATTCATTTTTTAAAAATTTGATCAGAGAGGGACAGAGAAAGAGACAGAAAGACAGAGAGAGAGAGAGAGAAAGCAAGCCACCAGTTCTGGAACTCAAACCACAGTCAGCCCTGTGGGAGGTCCAGCGCTCTTACCCACTATGCCACCTGCCAGCCCCAGTTTACATCTTTTAATCAATGGTTTTCGCCCTACCTTATATATGAGCAGACTGGCGCTCAAAGGCACACACAGCTGGTAAGAAGGAAAGCTAGAATTGTTTTTAAATTAATTGTCAGAAGGTGTGGTCACGCTGCCATCCTTTCTCCTCCTACCAGGATTTGGGGCATGCATGGACATACACCAATGTGTTTTTCCAGTCTCGGAGGCCAGGATTCGAACTGCGGTCAGCCACGTGAGATCCAGCTTTCTATGTACAATGCTTAACTGTGTGCTATGGGGCCCAGCCCTAGAGCTGAGATTTGAACCCGGGTGTGACTGATTGCAAAAAAAAAAAAAAAAAAGCCCAGATTCCTTCCCTTCCTTTAAGCACTTGCCTCTGCAATGAGGCTTTGCCGCTTCTCCCCTCAAGAGCCAGAATCTTTCTCAATCTGGACTGGCCTATGACTCGCTTTAACCAACAGAATGTGGCAGAAACAATGTGTGGGAGTCCTTGGTGTCAGCCTCCAGGGCCTTGTGGCTTTCACCCTACCTTGGAACAGGTCTGGCCTTCTAGTGGCTTTAACCATTAGAAGGTCAGAAGCCACGTGGAGCAGAGGCCCTCCCAGGTAGGCCCCTAGCCTGGCACTGTCCGCCATTTACACTTCAGTTAAATAAAATTAAACCTAATGTTAAGTTAGTCCCTCAGTCCTGCCACAATTCGAGTGCTCACTGACTACCCAGGGCTCGGAACTGCTGCTGGTGAGCAGATACCGAGTGCTTCTGTCAGCACAGGAAGTCTTGCCAGAGGGTGCTGCAGAGGCAGCACGGAGGGCAGGCACATGGGTGAGGGATCTGCCATCCTCCTGTCCTGGCTGAGTCACTAGGCATGGCAGCTCTCTGAGTGATTTCAGGTGAGGGATAGAACTGACTGGCTCAATTTAACCCCAAATTGCTGACACACAGAACTGTGAGCAAACAGCCCGACTCAGTGGGCAGTCGGTATATACTGATTGGCAGTGCTGGAAGCCACATGGCCAACCAGGGGTTTGGATCCTGGGCTGACCTGAAAACAGGCTAGGGATGCACACATCCAAGATTCTAGAGGCCCAAGTCTTCCGTCAGCTCCATCTGTAGTCTATACTCAGTCATTGGAGTCCCTTGTTCCTTCTGCTCTGAAGGCTCCCAAAAGGCAGAGGCCCCCTTGGGCTTTATTCCCTGCACCCCGAGTCCTCACACAGTGTCTGGCATTCTATACACTCTCATTGGTGACCCTCCGTGCCACTTCGAGGGCACTCCTCTACAAGGCAAGTTGGTGGGCAGGGGTCAAGTGACAACCACCCAGGTCTCCCAGAAGGAAAGGGGAAGGGACCCAGGCCTGGGGCCTACCGATGGGACCAGGGGAGCAACAGACCTGTTTTGTGCAGCTCAGGTAGGAAGCGCAGGAAGATGGGGCGGGCATACAGGGGCAGCTCCTTCTCCAAGACCCGTGCAAAGCGCTCCAGGTCACAACTGTCAGCAGGGCTGGCCACAGCAGCCATTCCGGCCCTGCCTTCCGTGCCTGGGGGCAGCACAGTGGACACTGAGTGGTCGGCAGTCCCCCGTGGCACCTCCCCGTGCAAACTCCCATCTCCACAGATACCTGGCACCTCGACGCCGTACACTGCCACGTCGGCCATGTCCAGCAGGCGGCTGAGCGTGCCCTCCACCTCGGTGGTGGACACGTTCTCACCTTTCCAGCGGAACGTGTCCCCTGTGCGGTCCCGGAAGTACAGGTAGCCTAGCTCGTCCATCACCAGCACATCACCTAGGGAAGGGCCGGGTGAGGTGGGCTGGACTGGGCCGTCCTGGCTGGGCTGAGGGTTTGTCACCATGAGGACAGGTAGGGCAGCCAGGGTCTACAGGTAGAGAAAGGTCCCTCAGTCCCCCACCCCTTCCAGGCAGGGCTGTGAAGGGCAGGGAACCAACCAGTGAGGTAAGCCTGGTCCCCCTTCTTGAAGACATCCTCGGCGATCTTCTTGCTGCTGGCGCCCTGGTTGAGGTAGCCGTCAAAGCGGCGCAGGGGGTCTTGCTGGATGATGCGGCCCACCAGCTGGCCCGGCTCACCTGGGCATAGGGGAGGCAGGTCAGATCTGTACCAAGTGGCCTCTTCCACCGGCCCTCCAGCAGTGCACCTGCATTTCCACCTGCCTTGATTCACCTGCTTGCCACAGAAACAGCCTTGCCCTCTAGCCCTAGAGCTCCCTGAAGGCAGGGAGCTCACCTAGCAGGCTGACTCATGTAGGTACTTGGTGACATTTGTCCACTGGATAGATGGGAAGGTGAAGGAACAGCAAACAGGTTGGGGGGATCGGCTCCAGGTAGACAGCCTGGCCAAGCAGCACCCCTGAGCCTCTGCACCGCACCTTTCTGCTCCCAGAGCTTTATGTTCTCTGCTACACGGATCTTCAGGTCACCCCAGTGAGGCCGGGGCTGCCACCAGTTCCATATACCAATAAGGGGACTCAGGCACAGAAGGCTGAATAACCATCTCATGGCACACAGGTACGGAGCCAAGGCGATCCCCAAGACTGGACGGGTGGGACGATGGGTGTGTGAGTGGACAAAGAATGGAGTAAGCTGAAGCCCAAACAGCAAAGCTGACTGACGGCCACCGGTCAGAATAGGGTCCCCCCTCCCCGAGTACCTCCCTCCTGGGCCAGCCCAGGGCAGACCTGGCTGGCAGGGAATGCAGATGCCATCGGGCCCCCGGATCAGCTCCATGGTGTCCTCATTGACACGTACCAGCCGGATGGGGTACACGAAGGACAGGATGCGGCTGTTGAAGCCACAGGCCCCCACCTGCAATGGCCAAGACTATGTGCTCAAATGGGACATGGGGGCAGAGGGGACCCCAGTGCCCCCCTCCCATGCTGGAACTCGGCCCTCCCCTCTACCGTCCAGGGCCTTCTGTGGCCCACCCCTGCATCCCCAACCTGGCCGCACCTGGCTGTCGAAGTTGCCAAGGCTGCAGTTGCACTCAGTGGCCCCATAGAACTCGGCCACCTGGGCGATGTGGAAGCGGCTGGCGAAGCTGGTCCAGATGGACTGCCGAAGGCCGTTGCCTAGAGCCATGCGCACCCGGTGCTGCCTCTCTGCCTCCCGGGGCGGCTGGTTCAGGAGGTAGCGGCATAGCTCGCCGATGTACTGCACAATCTGGGGGTGGTCTTGGGGTGACTCTAGGCTCGAGGTTGCCCTCACTTCACTGCCTCACAGTCCCCCGTACCCACCCCCCATGGCTGGCCGTGCCATCCTTTCCCCATGCAGCCAGTCCCCCGTCCAGACAAACTCACCGTGCAGTTGTACTTGATACAGTCGTCCCAGAACCGGGAGGCTGAGAACTTCTTCCGGATCACCACTGTCATGCCGTGGATCAGGCACTGCCCGATCCCCACAATGTTTCCTGAAGGCAGGAGGTGGCCCTGGGGTCAGGGAAGAGACTCCCCCCTCCAGTACTTCCTCTGGCCCAGGCCTACCTTGTCACGGGCCCTTTCTCCTGGTCTCTTTCCTGTCCTGTCCTGTCCTGTCCTGCCCATAGCAACTGATCCTCTCACCCATACTCACACTTCCCATGGCTCCCAGTACCTACGGGACTGAGCGTCCCAGCGGCAGTCTAGGCCTGGCCCCAGCCTGTAACATTGCCATTTAGCAGGTGGGACTGATCTCCCAGCCTGGCCCGTGTCTTAGCTCTGCCTGCACTGGGTGACCTCCTCCGGGAAGTCTTGTGTTCCACCTGGTCACATGTGTGCTCTGTCCCTCTTCTATCCTCACTGAGCACCAGACACAACTAAATTTACTCAAGCTGTGTCATCCCTCAGACAAGCCGAATTGCCACCAGCGGCAATGGCTGCAAGCCTGCAGAGAGGAACTCAATTCTCAGACCACCCAGTGCCCCGGGACATTGCCACATGCACCTGAGCCTGGGGCAGTCATCCTCATTTAATAGACAAGGAAACTGGGCAAGGAATCAACACTGTGTCTGGATTCGAATCCAGATTTAATTCCATGCTGTCTCATAGGAGGGGTGTGGCTTCTGTGGACTGGGAGCACTGGGGGCCGCTAGAGGCTGTGGGGCAGGCCCAGAGTTACCTGCTGAGTGGTAGAGGGGGAGGCAGTCATACACAATGTCATCAGGTTGCATGCGGAAGCCATAGTACACCAGGGCGGCCATGCGGTAATACCTGGGAGGGCACGGGCAAAGCGTTCGCTGGGCCCCTAGAAAGGCCCTGCTTACCCGACCCTCACCCTGGCGCACCCGCCCTTACCTGCTGTTCACCACGATGGCGGCTTTGGGCAGCCCTGTGGTGCCTGATGTATAGATGTAGAAGAGCTTATCTGAAGAGAGCAAACATGGGCAGCTGTGAGGTGGGCAATGTGGGGCTGGCAGGGTCAGAAGAGCAGATGGCCACACATGTTCCCAATTACACCTCCTCCAGGAAGTCTACACCGATGACCTGAGACACTGTTCTGCTCTACGGCCTGAATCCACTCTTTCAAGAAACGTTTCCTGTCTTGCTCTGTGCCAGGCTTTTTGGGGAGAGACATCAATGACCACGATGGGTACTGACCCAGTCCTCTTGGAAGTCACGGCTGAGTAAGAGGTCAGAAAAGGATGCTGGGCCAACTCTATAGAGCAGTGGTTAGGTGCAGCACAGAGGAAGCCAGATCCCACACGGGTAACCACAGTTCAAGTCCCAGCCCCTTCAGCTTGGAAAAAAAAAAAAAACACCCCAGGCACATGTGCACCCAGGACCTTAAAGAGATGAAGAACTGGAGGAGAAAGGACCGTGGCGTGACCAGGATCTGCTGGAGGCTGCTTTCTCTGTCTCTTTCACACACACCCTCTGGCATATATATGAACACACTCACCTATACAAACACACAAAAGCGGGTGTGGGCAATCCTGAGCACCAAGTGCCAGGGGACGGCAGAAGCACAGGACCTGCTGAAGTCTGGCAGCAACACTTGGCATGGACTGGCAAGAGAGGGAGGTGGCAGCAGGTGGGCTTCCTGGGGAGAATCCCTGTCCCAAGTCTTAGAACACGAGGAGGCACGAGCTGCAGGAAGCAGGGTGTTGCTCTGTGCTGTGGACTGTTCATGTCTCTCACCTGCAGCTCCAGAGTCTCTTTCTTTTTAAACTTGCCAGAGAGCACGTGCACTCACCAGAGGGAGGCAGATGGAAAGGAGAAGGGGAGGAAGGAAGAATATCCCATACGGCATTGTCATGCAGCAGTCTCTTCTCTTTTCCCATCCTGCAGGGATTTCGGACACGCATGCACACACACCCAGCGTGCTTCTCAAGCCCCTGGGTCCAGGATAACTGCGAGTCCATCGTGCCGGCCCTCTGGATAGCATGTCTCTGCGGCCCAGCCCTACCACTCGGGAGGTGTGGATGACTCCCCATGTTTGGTGGCAGTCACCTCTTGCTCTCTGGCTGCTGTATGCCAGCCCTGGGCATCAGAGGGCACTAGGTAAACCAGGTGGAGTGCCTGCCCTCACGTAACTTACAAAGTTGCCCGCGAGGCCAGATACGCACAGATGGAGTTAGGACGATGACGACGACAATGATGGTGACTGAGCTCATCCTGCCACACCCTACCCCCACTATTTTTTTCAGACCTCGAAGTCACCCATAGAGTAGGTTCTTTTCCTTTTTTTTTTTTTTTTTGAGAGGTTTTTGTTATAGGGCGCATGTGCTTGCCAGACAGACAGACAGAGACAGACAGAAAGCGAGAAATCACCCCCCAGGGGGATGGCCATGCCGCAATCCCTTCTCCTCCATTCTCCTCTCGGGATCTTGGGCATGCACGCACACATGCCTGGTGTGAGTTTTAAGCCACCGGGTCTGGGACTCAAACTGCAGTCGACTACATGGTAGTCCAGCGACATAGCCATTACACTAACTGCTAAAGTGCTGGTCCCAAGTAGGTTCTGTTTCTATCCCCAATTTCATGGCTGTGGAAACCGAGGCTGAGGGCGAGGCAGGTCAAAAGGGAAGCAGTCAGGTGGGATGTGAAGTCAGACCTGACTCCACGACTCAAGCTCTGAGCCACCAGGCAATGCAGTGGCCGTGTGCCCTCACCAGGAAGTGGGTAAGGGGCTGGAGGCACAGGCTGGAGTGTGAGGAGGAGCAGGAGGATCAGGGAGGCCGCACAGAGGTGGGGCAGGAAGGCCAGCAGGTCCTGCACCAAACAGGTGCCTGATGAAATTCAGCAGGCCTTGCCTCTTACCCTCACGGCCTCCTCTCCCTACCAGGCCCAAATTCAGATGAAGCAGGTTACTGGGGTCTGGGTGACCCTGCACCTGAGGGCAGGGCATCTGTGAAGGCTTGTTCAGCAAATCAGACAACTGGATCTGTGCACCGTGTGCTCAGCTCCGTGCCTGATTCTTTTACACAGACCAGCTCATTTCACCTTCATGGTAACCTGGAGTGTCCCAGGGTTACTGTCCCCACCTTCGGTCACATGTCTGTCCCAGGCACACAGCTGGGTTGCAGAAGGACCCAGGCCAGTGCTCTGTCCTCAGCCTGTCCGAGAACCCTCTGTGGGGGTATGGGACCCACCTGTGAAGCCCTTGTCAGGGCGACTGGGCAGGTGCTTGGGAGCATCTTCCAGAAGAGGGTCCAGGTGCTCTGTTCCAGAGGGTACCGTGCTGGGCTCCCAAGAGCCAGAGCAGAAGAGGCTGAGCGAGGGGTCCAGGCTGGCACAGATCTCAAAGATGGCTGTGGGGAGATAGGGCAGGTCAGCTAGCACATGTTGGGGGGATCAGCCAGAGGGTGGGGCGAAGCAACCGGGACGTCACTGCTAACGAAGCACCAGCCCCTGTAGCAGCTGGCTGACTCCACTGTGGGCTCTTCACCTGCGTCCTCCCATTCTCACAGGCCTAGGAGGTAGGTTCCAATGACAGCCATTCTACAGAGGAGGAAACTCAGGCACTCAGAATGGCTCACAGCTGGAGTGTGCTGGAACTGAGACTCAGTGCCTGGTCTATCTCACACCGAGGTTGGAGCTCTGACCCGCTGGACTACCCTGCTCTGAGGCAACCAGTCAGAAAGGAGGAGTGGGGGGTCAGAGGCCTGGACCTTCTCTGAGGGGCCTCAGGGCACTGCACGGACATCAAGGCACTCACCCTAGGCACGGGCACCCTGACCCGCTCTGCCCCAACTCCTCTGGCTTCCTCCCCTTTCTCTTGCTGCATCTGAGGGAACTTTCCTGTCCGTCCCTCCACAGCCAGAGGAGGGGCGAGGAAGAACAGGGCCACTGCGGCCAAGCCCACCTTCTGCTCCCAGTTCTGCCACTTACAACTGTGCGACCTCGGGTGAGCGCTTCACACTTCCGGATCTCACGCTCATCACCTCTCAGCCGAGATGACAGTCCTCTCTCACCTGCCTTTGTGAGGGTGAGAGCTCTTTTGTAAAGCACCACACCCACAGTGCCCAGGAGAGTGGAGAACAAATTCTTGTTCCATTACACAGGTGAGGCAGGTGAGACCTAACTAGTCACAAGGATGGTCACCATTCCATCAGCCACTTGCTAGTGCTTTGAGTGAAATACAATCTTCAAAAGAGTAAGAGGTATTGGGCCAGCAGGTGGTGTGGTGGTTAAGGCGGCTGGACTCTCACGTGGCTGACCATGGTTCAAGTCCTGGACCTGGTGGCTTGCTCTCTCACCTTCCTTCTCTGTCTCTCTCTGGTCAACTTAAATAAAATAAAAAATAAAATGACAATGAATAAAATTAAATAAAATAGTTAAAAAAAAGAGAGAGAGTATGAGGTAGTTACGACAGATGAGGAAGAGGGAGAGCTCAGAGTCTGGTCTCTTCCTCGGGACCTGCAGGTAGTGGTGACAGAGCCCAGCCCTCCTGTAAGGCTCAGGCCCTAAACTGACCTGTACAGCCTCCCCCAGGGTGGAATGGAGCTGTGTCCTACGTGAGGCCCCATAGGACCACCTGCTTGTCTCCTGACTTCAGAGGCTTACCTGGGGCCATCTCACTGCCGAAGATGAGGGCCCGAGCCTGGGAGGTGGTGATACAATGGCGCAGTGCATCCCGTCGGAGGTTGGTATTGATAAGCGCTGCCTCCACGCCCAGCTTGGCCATGCCCAGCCACAGGCCCACGAACTCATTGCGGTTCTCCATGAAGAGGGCGGCCACATCACCCGAGGCCAGACCCCGGGCCTGCAGGAAGTTGGCCACGCTACTTGAATAGTCATCCAGCTGGCGGAAGGTCCAATGGGTGTCTGTGCCCTCGAAGATCAGGGCCGTCTTATTGGGGTGGCGCTGCACCACGGAGGCAAACAGGATAGGCACCGTCCGCTGCTCCCGGAGGTATCGCCGCACCTTGGCCTTTACCTTCAGGAGCACCAGGCCGCCACTGCATGCAAGTGAGCAAGGAGGCTGTGACCGATGAGGCCAGGAGTAGGGGGGACCCTGGCCCAGGTGGCTGCCCTGCTGGCCTGAGTCTCGAAAGCCAGCTCTCCTACGACATCCCCATGTCCTCCAGATCACACCAAGAGACTCGTGTCACTCCATGACAGAGGAGGAAGCTGACGCTGAGGCCTGCGCAGGCTGCGTGGGTGGAATACGGCCGGGCTCAGATTGAACCCCAGTCTTTTGGGGCATTAGAGCTCAACTCCTTCTACTACCTTCTAAGCCTGCTGCTCTCTGTGAACCTTCTAGGGCTCCAGGCCCTGCCTCAGAGTCTAAGCTCCAGTTGTATGTCCCCACCCCCGTGGCCACAGTGAGCTTGCTACTTTGCAGTCCTTCTGTCAGAGCCCAGCAGAGGGGCTCTGTCTGTCACCACTCTGTCCCTGGGCCCTACCTCAGCGCTACATGGAGTAGACATTCAATACGTGTTTGTGGACTCACTTGGCAACACTGCTCTCCTGCCCAGCCACCTGACCTCTGTACTCTCCAGCCTCTGTGACTTCAGCCTTTGCTGGTGCTGTACTCTCTGGTGGGACTCTCACCCATCCACTTCCAGGTCACCTCTCAACTAAAAGTGCATTTCCTCCAGGAGGCCTTCTCTGATTCCCCACATCCCGGCCCCAGGCCCCCTCTCCTTGCCCCATGCTCCATGGTTCTCTGCTACTACCACCTTCCTGTGGTGCCACTAGATACTTCCTTTTGTGATCAGTCCAGATTGACACATGCCTGTTCTGGTCATGGGTCACTGCTGGGCACTGGGAGACACAGGCATGAGCAAGATTGCTGGGTCCCTGCCCACACAGCACTGCTAGGGGCTTATCTCTCTGACCAATCTGAGCTTGGCAGGCCTCGCTCCCCTCTGGGGGAAATAGAAATAGAACAGGTAGGAGCAGGTGTTTTCTGGCACAGGAACCCCATGAAACATACCTGGTTTTCTTTCTTTTTTTTCTTAGAATTATCAAATTTTATTTATTCATTCATTTATTTTCATTTGACCAAAGAAAGACAGAGAGAGCAAGAGAGACAGAGAAAGTGAGAAAGTAAGCCACCAGGTCCGGCACTTGAACTGTGGTAGGCCATGTGGGAGTATCCAGTGCCTTAACCACCACATTACCTGTTGGTCCCCCATACCTGGATTTCTTAGGGAGCACCTTCTCCCAGACATGATTCGGGGCCCTGCTCCTGCACCTTTCCTCAGGCCTCCCTGTAGCTGTCTCCTCAACACATGTGATGCTCAGTGTTGACTCCATGCCTGCCCCAGGCCAAGGAACCTCAAACAGCGAGATTCCCTGGAAGGAGACTTCGATCTTGGAGACAGTGGTACCAGGTACCACCAGGGCAATGGTGTGGAACACAGATGCTCTGTGCTGATGGGAACCAGGCCCTAGTCTGGGGAGATCTGGGGTTCAGAACCTCAGTGTTAGGTGAGAGACCTCAGGAAGGCCTGGACCAGGTACTCACAAGACATCACGTCTGACGGTCTTGATGAAGATCCGGATGAAGCGCCAGCCACCAGAGCCTAAGTACAGGAGCAGCAGGGAGAACCCCACCTGAGTCCAGGGCAGCTTCAGCACCAGCTTGGAGAACAGCAGCACCCCCACTAGAGAGGCCCCGAGCAGCATTGTGGCCTGTGGGGACAGGGCAGTCAGTGGACCCAAACATCAGCATCTTCTGGGCCCCCACAACCTAACCCAGGCTGCCAGGTCATGCAATCCCAAAGGGTCAGCCTGGGGTGAAGCTTAGCCATTCTGAGTGGGGTGGCTAAGGACAGGGATCCCCTTCCAAGTTTGGGTCCCATGGCTCACTGGAAGGGACAGGCTAGTCTTCAATGGCTTCAGTGGCTCTGAAGCAGGAGGCTTACCACTGTCAAAGTGGCCTGGAGCAAGCCCCTTTCCCACTTCAGGCCTCAGTCTCCCCGTCTGCACAATGGGTGTGAGACTTGCACTCAGAGGCCATTCCAGCCAAAACAGGGTGGTCCACTCCCCTGACATCCAGGGTTCCTATCCAAGAAAGGGCATGAGTGCTGACTCAGCTCCCACCGAGAAACCCAGGAAGGTTCTGTGCATTGGTCAACACCCAAAGGGGCAGCTCCCAGAGAAGGGAGCCCAGCTCTGTACCTGCCCACAGGCTCAGGTGTCGCAGTGCCTCTGGCTGGTCGATAGAGGGCAATGGAGAAAAGGAGTTAAAGCCGGAGGTGCCCGAAAGGTGACCGCCCAAGGGGGAGAAAGGTGGTTGAGGCAGGAGAGCGCTGGGCCCTGAAGACACCTCTCCCCCAACAGCACCCCTCCCTGCCCCTTTCCCCCAACACAAGGCAAGCCGCTGCAATGAATCTTTGGGGACTGTGCGGCAAGGGCTGGGCTGAGATTAGGACTGTAGGGCTCTTCCTGGCGTTTTGTGGACTTGCTCAAGGGGACAGCTGATGGCACTTTTTCTTGGGGTTTTCCTAGTCTTCGGAGGAGCTGAAGGTCAAGGCTGTGAAGTAGCCCGAGAGCTTCCAAGCCGGGATGAGGACACGGCTGGACTACAGCGAACCCCTACAGACTATCTCCCTCTCCTCCTCGGGAAAGCAAAAGGCGGGGGTGTGGGTATGGGGGCTGAACCAGCGCCCCCAACCCCACCGCCTTGGTCTCCAAGGTCCTCAGACTTTTGGCCTCCCAGAGTCCGCCAGGGCAGAGGACAGGAACTGGTCCAGGAAGGCTGGGGTGCAGGGTGAAGGGAGGAGGGGAGTTCCCCTCGCCCCTGGACAGCCAGGGTAATAGAGCGCCCGGCAAGAAACAGAGAGGCAGGGCGCGCCCCCCACCCCAGGCCGGCACCGCTACCTCCTCCCGATCCCGACCCGCACGTAACCCCGCCTGGGCACCCACTGGCCCAACCTGTTCTCACCCGGCGTCGGCCCAGTCGTGCGGCGCCCAATCCAGATGCGGCCGGGTTGCGGCAGCCGAACGGGGAGCGCTGGGGGCATCGGCCGCCCTGAGCGCACAGAGTCGGATCTCAGCAGCGCTTC